TCATTCAGACACGGAGGCAGACAGGCAGACAACGTAAACCACTTCCCCTGTTGGTGAAAGAAGCATCAAAGGCTCGCGCCTTGGCCCCGGCGGACCTCACCCTGAGACTGGGGTGGCAATGCTAGAGCAGACAAGTAGGTTGGGGAGAGGGGGGCAAATGGAAGGCTGTATAACTGGCAGGAATTTACCTTAATGGGCCGAATTACTCCCTTCACCATCCCCTTTAAACACAAACACATAAACAGCAGGCTGCTCATTAGGCCACTCATCACTGCAGAACAAAGACCACCTCGGTGTGTGTGTGGAGGTGTGTGTTTGAGAGGGAGGGGAAGAGCGGGTGGCAGTCCACAATGTTTGTCTTCCTCCCTCCGTGTTGGTCTTTGTCAGAGTGCAGGCCTGGGTCTCACACACACACACACCTCAGGAAATAAGGGATCAATTGGATTGGCTGTGGCAGATGGGGGTTTCAACAAAAAAAAAGGAGAAAAAAAAAAGGGACCAGTCAAGCTGAAAGCTGCATCAATTGGTCACTGTGTGTGTGTGTGTTCGTGTGCTGGGTGTGGGTTTGGAGTGAAGGTAGGGGTGGGTTGGTATAGGGGTATCTGGCACCTTCTAAAATCCAATGATCTAATAGGAAACCACCCCCAACCCTCCTTTTATGAAACAGAGAGAAAAAGAAAAATGGCTCCAGGCAGGCAGCCAACACAATTCAATAAAAGAAAATTCTCACTCGGGCCAGTTTTCATTTCTTCGTCTTTCCACATTTACACACAAAACTGGAGGGATGAAGGAATTTTCAATTTGATGTCCTTGTTTCACTTTCTTGTAGAGTTACTGAGGCGGCAAAGGAGCGCCACTCTGCAGATGCTTTTACTTTCATTTGCTCTGAAGTATAAAACAGCTCAGAAATCTGGATTTTAAGAAGCTGCTGTTGGATTTTCCAGTCTGACATTTCAGAAAGAAAGAAAGATCTCAAGCTGACCTCGATCTTCAAGTTACCCAAACGTCACTCAGGAATTCCAGGCCAGGGATTTTCCTCCCATTCCCACACAAACACCACATGCTCACACACATGAAACATACACCTCGCTGCTGTGCTATTCAGTGCTCAGGCAATGATCGATGGGAAAATGGGTTTGTTTACGCACACGCACACGCACGATGCTGGTTTTCAGAGCCCAAACACAAAGTCTAACCCGCAGGAGATTAAAAAGAAAAAAAGCTGCTGAGCCAATGTTGCTCAACCTTCCCGAAAAGCACAGGAAGCAGGATGAATTTCAAAGTGTGTTCACCAGATGTATGAATATGAGCTTCGTTCGGCCTATCATTAGGTTTCCTTTCCTGTTTCCACTTAAGCTTTGCTCAGCTGGGAGGAATTCATAAATCAGATCCATTCCACTGAGGCGTTCCTGCGCTCGAACTGAGCTACGAGGCTGAACGTTTCCATGTAGGTAAAAGGTAAGCCCCGATCTAATCTGAGGGGAAATGTGCGGTTTCGAGGAACAGCGACTCCAGACTATGGGAAAGGATTAACTGTGCTACATTGATTAAAATGGGTCAGAGATTAATTTCATTATTTGAGAAAAAACAAAGCTGCCCTGGGACTCTCCTGTCTCCTGATTTGGACATTCTGGGCTAAAACCCTTTTATTTATTTATGACGCAGTCAAACATGGGTGAATTCTACCCCACAAAGTTAATAATAAACTAGCTCCATATCATTCAAATCAGCAACTGAGTGACTGATCACAGAGATGCATGTTAGAACATGTCCACACCACCGCCACAACTGACACAAGGTGACACTTGGAGCATGAGTCAGACAGAGAGGTTGTTGGAAGTGAGGATTACCTGAGGTGTCCCACAAACTGAGCTCGATCCTCTGCGTGTCGATTTCAAAGCTGGCTGTGTAGTTTTCAAACACAGTGGGGACGTAGCTCTGCAGGAAACATTTAGAAGAGGGGAGGTCAGGGAGGAAGCCTGCCAGGTTTTAAACTTTGAAGAAACTGAGCAACGTTAGATTTATTACCCTATTACCACGATCGTGTACTACAAAGGTGTTGGTACTACTACGTTTAGGTTTCAGATCCCAACACGTATCAAGCACTACAACATGAATGTCCTTCATCACTACTGGAACAATCCACGTGACACAGCCAGGTTCAGAAGAACAATGAGATGCGCTGGTCGTGGTATCAGTGTGTGTTATTAACATGCATCATGTCCAGCAGGCTGCAGGGTCTCACCTCAGGGAAGCAGTCTTTGGCGAACACGTGAAGCAGCGCAGTCTTCCCGCACTGGCTGTCCCCCACCACCACTATCTTACACTTCACACTCTGACTGGGATCCATGCTGGATTTCAGAGATAACTTCTGACACGGGCGTCTCTCCTTCATTGATTTGAATCGTTTTTAAAAATGAGTCCAATCCTGGGTGGGTGGGTGGGTGTGAACCGTCGAGAAGCAGCTGGTCTCGGTGCGTCCAAGCCTGCGCGCCTGCTCTCCTCCCCCGGTGTCTCCGCCTGCTCTGAGCCGGTAAATTCCATTTGCCTACATTTATAACGTCGCAGGAGCCAATGGCAGCAGCTCTCCGTCCGTCGGGATGAGGCACGTCCCTCCCTTCGTCCAGCGAGCCTCCACACAGACGCACGCCGGGCCAGGCACCGTGATGGCGCCCCCGTTTGGACTACACACAGACCTCAGCTTCAACATCAAAACAATAAAACACAAACTAAGATATTTTTTTAAATCATTAAAGTAAATCAGATTATAGTTTCCATTTGCCAGTTTTTTAGAGTGAATTGTGCGCAAAATTTAGACTTACAAGAAGAGCAGCGCCAGTATAAGGCAATTCAAACTATTTATGTTGCCTTTCCTTTATATACTATAACATGATTTTATAAAATAGTGACTGGCCTGTCTTGAAACTATGAAATAGGAAATCTGCAACATAACAGCATAAAACTGTATTAAAGTTTTAAAATTGATGGAATACAGCAGATACATGCAAACATTTTATTTGCTATTTATTTGCCAATATACCAAATATAAGTCAACAAGGCCTGTGCTGATACTTACCCAGCACATCAATGCATCTATAAAATATAGATATTTATTATTTTTATAGCCACAGTTCAGCCGTTAAGTCCTTCAGCTGTGACTATGGAGTCAAGCAAGTAAATGTAGCCCAAATCAAGAAATGATCAGTGCTTGTAGGGCAGTCATGAAGATAGGTGTGCTTAGAGTTACCACTCAGTTATCCTTGTAACTAAACACGGGCAAGCAAAATCAAAATAACCTTGCTGCTGCTGTAACTAGGTGGAATTAACCCTTTATCATCCAAGTCTCATACAGGCTTTTTGTCGCTAGCACAAATGATAATGGAGTTACTGTCATGAACAGCTGGGCTTCCATTTAAGCTTCAACAAAGAAGAAAAGAACAAGAGTAGAAGAAGAAGACAGATTAATATCAATAACATCTGTGTAATAAAACACAACCTTTGACCCTGGAGTTAAGGAACACGTCACAGTCATTCTATGATATACAATTCAATTCAATTCAATTCAATTTTATTTATATAGCGCCAAATCACAACATAAGTCGCCTCAAGGCGCTTCATACACACACTGTCTGTTTACTTTCTTTAGCATGAGTGACTAAAAGGCAAAGGGTAATAAACATTTATGATTCTATAATTGTCTAATATGACACAGTGACTATTCTAACAGACAAAATATAATGTGCAATTTGAGCCCAGCATTGCTGTTTTAGTTGAGTTTTCTTAAAACACCCTGTTGTTATAGTGTTTGCTACAAGATCAGTGTGGAGGAAACCACATAAAAAAGGTTTAAAGGTGCAGAGCAGGGATGTGAAGCTCATTGTACAACGTGGGCCACTTTGGCCTTAAGTGGGGCATACCAGTGACACTCGCCTTTCAGTGTAAAGAAGTTTAACCACGCGCTGAATCCCTCAGTTATCTTAATAAAAGAAAAAATAAGTGCTAATTCAACAGCATGTCTCAGTTTTTCTGCACGATAAAGTAAACGTTTCTGTAGTAAATAGAAAAAGTCTGATATTAAGTCATTTCTGTCTTCATGAATGATCCCAGAGGTTTTTATCAGTAGAAACGTTTTTACAAAATACAGGTAAAAGTCAAAAAATGTAAAAAAAAAAAAAAAAGTCAAAAATTTATACCTTTCTTCACATTTTCCAAAACTATGCCAGTTCTCGAGTTTCATCTTTAGAAAGATCTAGCTAAAATTAATCAATAAACTGAGCTGGAAAACAATTTCTAATTACGCTCAATGAGCACCAAAATAATAACTTTTTTGATTCGTCTGTAAAACTGCTGCTGCATTTTAAGCATTAAAACTCCGTGCTGTTTATCATGAAGTGTTAGGAATGATTTATTAAATAATGAATTCACCGCCCCTCACATTTTAAACAGTGTGTGATTCAGTTTCAAATGGTCGGCGCACTCTAATCGAGCCTTTTGTTACTCACAGCAGCACAACTTATTACGGTCCTTTGTTTCATACACATTTCACTCAGCCCTTTCACAGAAGGATTTTCATTTCTCTGCCACATGACCAAAACAATAAACCCAGTGAACCCAGTAGCACATGCAGCTTATTTCCAATGCACAGCATTAGTCGTTTCCATGGAGGATTCCCCTCATTATCTGTGAGTAATACATATATTTACAGTAAAATGCACAGCCACACAAAATATATCAGCTGTCTTCCAGACATTTATTAGAAGAAGTGGAAACTCAATTTCCCGATGGGATCAATAATGTGTCAGAACCACATTTTCTTGTGTCTTTTTCAGAACAGGAACCCTTCTGGTTTAAAGGCCTCCTCTCTGTGCCTTCAGGCTACTTGTTCCCTAGCACAGTGTCACTGCTAATTTTCACAAAAATGAGGGGAACAGCGGCGTTCTACAGCAGCTCTCCCCTCTGCCACAGAGTGATTGGACTGCGAGTTGCTGGCAGCGTTTTTACAGTGGGACAGCTCCACCCTGCAGGCTGTGCAGTGGGAGTCCCGTCTGTTGTGTGGGAGCTCTGCCTCCAGGACACAACACTGCCAGGAGAGAATGGACTGGGTGGGGGGATTGGCAGGGTGGGGGCTGCTTGGCTGCTATCTGTGTACCATATGCATTTGACCTCATTCAAATTCTGTCAGAATTTGAAGATAATGGAGGCTTTACCTGCAAAAAACACCGTTGTTTCTGTGGTGACTCCCTACCTCGTCACTTTCCCCTCATCTGAGCTTTATCAGCTCTACATCAGTAAATGAACCCAGCCTTTTAGAGATTGCAGTGGAGACGCGTCAGAGGAGATGGCGAGCAAAACCACATTAACTGAGTTGTTTACACACTGTGCCCTGGTGCCCTTCTCCAGCTTTAGCGAGGCTGTCTCGTCTGTGCTTGTGTGCGCTGCTCTCTGCTGCAGCCTGAAGCTTTGCCAGTCTCACTTGGGTGCAGCCACACATTTGGGCTAAAGTGAGGCCGTGCAGGGTGACATCATGCAGATACATCTTAAAGGTAAACTGATATACGAGACAGCATCAGCCTGTAACAGTGGATGCCTTCAGGGGCTGCTCTGATCATTTTAAAATCTCTTTGTATTGTCCTACATTTCCTGTACAGTAGTGCCACAACACACCGCAGAGATGGAGAATAAAAGTGCCCGAGCGCTTCCAGGTAATGGAAAGAGTCATACCATGGTCGAGAAACTCAACATGTTTCGTTTCGAGTCATTCTCTGTGAATAACACTAAACATGACACTGGCTGGCTGGACGTAAATGACGATACAGACCCGAAGCATGCACGCAGTGCAGCAAACTGGGCTGGTAGACAAGTACAGTTGCCTAAATACTGTACATGCTTCTCAGAATAGAAATGAGGGTACCACCTGTTTCTGGTCACATGGTGCTGTCAGCATCAAGCGGATCTCGTGTATTTCCACAGGGGCTGCTCACAGCTAATTTTCCACAACCTTTCCATGTTTAAACTTTCATTTACATTTTTAATCATAACAGAAAAAAGCAAATCCATAATTAAACAACACTGGTAGCTTAGCATGATGAGCATGATGTGCCTCAGTGATGAGGTCGAGGCATCCTCTATTAATAAGCTCAGACACTGCCTTCTGTTTTTCCTTTGGGAATATCTGTGCTACTTAAGTATCTGCACTGGCTGTAACATTAGGATAAAACGTTTTACAGAAAACGGATTTCTGTGAATGTGCTGTATGCAGCAGCTGTAGCTGTGATGTATTACGTCTGAATACTGGCTAAATAGGTTTTTTTTATTGCAAATAATGATGAGAATTATTATAATTAATACACATGAGTGCTTAATGTTTTAGATACCTGACCTTCATTCACTGCATAACTAGGTCAGAACATGTTTACCTTCATAGAGGAAATACCTCAGAGCACCAAAACTGTATTTTCCACTGATTAAACCCATTTCCACCAAGAAGCCATCACTATTGGTGATATCCAGCACAGTTTAGGTCTGGGTCACACACCAGCAGTGCTGGATATCACTGCTGGGAAAAACTTCTCAGAACCCTGAATAAGAGGAATTTCCCAAAAGGCTGCAATGACTTGTTGTGACATGTTGAGCAATCGCAGGGAACCGCTTGATAAAAACAGGTTGCAAATTAACAGATCAACAGTGAGTAACAGAATAGAATTGGATCCAGGTCTGAAATGATTTGGTTTTAGCTGGCAGGCCAGCAGTGCTAGAGGTGTGTGAGTAGTCTAGGTCACTGGGTCTCTTCCCCCTCTGCCCCGACTGCCCCACAGTTATCTCTGTCGACGTGCATTCAATCAGCGGGGCCGCTGACATTTACTGCTAGGGCAGCGGCAGCGTACGCTTGGTTGTTTCAGCTTGAGAGGGGTTTCCTCGATGGTTAGTCATTGTGACTGGGGAATTAAGGGCAGATTCAGAACAACTCAGGGAGAAATAGCGATAGACTTTGTTTCTCCTTTATTGGAAAAAAAAAACGTGCATGCATCGTGGGTCACGGTATCCATAAAGAGGACATTCTTACTGCTAGCAGTCAGAGGTTTAATCACATACATTCTTAGACAAAAACGAACATAAATTTGACATAACCTTTAAATCACCTGCTTCAAAGGGTCTCGGAAAAGATAAAATACAATTTGTTGAACACGAGACGATAGATTCTCAGCCTTGATCTCAGGCTCACAGCAGGCGGTCACAGCCTAAAAGGGCTCCATTTTTAGGACCAGGACAGATGTTATTTCACACTAGCCGAGCTTGTGAGTGACCCAACATGCGACGTGTGTCTATGTGTTTGTGTGAACACAGATTTCTTTTCTTTTTTGCAAATCCTGTGAAAAAAGCAAATGCTTAAAGCAATAATCATCCCTTGTAATCACTGGAGTTACTGTAATTCCGCCTTAGTGGTGTCATTATTTACCTTTATCTTTCACTAAGCTGAAGTTTACATACTGTTGCTTTGGG